TTCGAAAGTCACCAAGAGACTGTCTCCAGAAACACTCGAGCTGATACGCCAGCGTGGAATCGCACGAGCTGCAGGCAACCGCGAACTAACGTCCGAATTTGCAAAACAACGCAGAAAAGCGATAAAAGAAGATCTTAAAGCGAGAACGGCAACAGTAATGGCTGAGGCTGAAGAGGCTGGGAAAAACATTCGCAAAGCCCATCGAAGCTTCGCCAATTACAAGGCCAAAATGACTGCACTCCGACTCTCAGATGGAACAGTTACAGCGTCCAGAAAGACGATGGAGAAAATCATTTACGAATACTACTCAGATCTATTCGAAAAACCACCGGTTCTCCATTCCGAAATCCGATATGCCATCTCGTTACCTGAGGAACCTCTCGCCAGCCCTCGTAAACATACTGGCTCGGCTCTTCACACGTTACTTGTCTGAATACAAGGTTCCTATTCAGTGGAAGAACAGCAAGACCTTATTATTATTCAGGAAGGGTGACCTGTATTGCGAGAGTACAAATGACCGCACTGTCTCACTTCCATCGATGTAAATACGATTTTGACTCAGTTGAAATAGAAGCAGTCTTGGAAGCCCTTGATAGTCAGGGAGTCCCTACTCAGGACACAAAGATTCTTCGTGAGCTGTACATAAATGTCACAACCGAGATATCACCATTCTACAACGATATTAACATTGACGTCAAAAGAAAGGTTAGACAAGGCTATACCATCTCGCCAAAATTATTTACCGCCACCTTCCAGAACGTCATGCGAGCATTGGAATGGGATAATACGGGAGTGAAGATCGATGGTCGGCAGTTACACCATCTTCGCTTTGCTGATGACATCGTCCTTATAACAGCAAACATTAGCCAAGCGGAACGTATGCTTGGCGGCTTTGATAAAGCCTGTGGAAAGATTGGTCTTCGACTAATTCTCACAAAAAAGATGTTCATGAAGAACGGAATGGTTTCGTATGCCTCACTCTCGCTCAACGGAACGAATATCTCCGAATGCTCCAGTTATGTCTACCTAGGTCGGGAAATCAATATAATGAACGACTTAGTTCCAGAGCTGAGCAGATAGAAACGAGCGGCTTGCAGAGCTTTCAATAGCATTGGAGATGTAGTGAAGAGGGCAAAGAACACCCGACTTTGTGCCTACCTTTTCGACTCAACGGTACTTCCTGTCCTAACCTATACGTAAGAAACCTGGTCGCTGCGTAAGCAGGACGAAAGGTCACTCAGCGTTATCGAAAGCGCAGTCGAAAGGACGATGCTAGAAGTATCCCGTTTCACATAAGAAAGGGATGGGATCCGAAGGCGCAATCTTCGTCAACGATCAAAAATCAAATATGTCGTTCTGTACGCCAAACAGTCGAAGATAAGGTGGGCCGGACACGTAATGCGTATGAATGACAACCGATAGATAAGAGCCGTTAGTGACTGAATTCCTCGAGATGTCAAACGTCTGCAGGAGGACTTGATGGTCAGAGTTCTTCACGAAGAGCCTTAAAGAAAGATTTGCTGCTCGACGAGTCCCTAGAGCGAGCAGAACCCAGTAGGCTACTCTTACACGCGACAAGGAAAAATGGAAGATTTACTGGCGTCCGGTCGACTCACTCGGCGATCAAGGGGATTACAGGTAATACAGGTGATACCCTGCCATGAAAATTGTAGTAGGCGGCAAATAAAAAGTAAAATATCTTTATTTTGCTTAATTGCTAAAATTCCTATAAATGCCCACGATGTTCTTGTTGAAGCATTGTAGCCGCGTGGATAGCCAATATTCGTTATTGCTCCGCGTGAGTCATATGAAGGTGAAAAATCGATCGACTTATCTGAATAGCAACAATCGATCACTACGAACTAATCCATAGTGTAACTTGATCACGTGAAATATTTCTGTAAAAAGTTGTGTCATCTACCACAAAAGTTCTTGTGCTTATTCGTGCGAGTAATGAGCGAAGGAACAGGTCGGAATCAACACAGCACTTTCACGAACGGCAATTCATTAGTTTTAAGTAAAAATGAAAACAGTGATAAGTAACCGAATATTCGACAATTCCACGGCTTCTTCAATGAAGTCATCGCTTCAGTTTCAAGAATAAAAGAGATAAAAACTGCAGACATTTACCATCACGCAATTTTCCAGTGAAATAGCTTAGTTCGTAACCTTCTGTGGCCATGTTATGATCAGTTTTCATAAATACCTGAAACAGGAAGAAACCTTGAGAGATTTTCGTAAAGCCGAAACATTAAAAAATATAGCCGTCAGTAAAAAGAGCTTTATAATCAGAACAAATAATTGGTTGAGGACTTCAACGGCATTTCCCCAAGAGAAGTACGTGGAAGGCAAACCACGACCGCATATGGGTCCACTCGAATTTCTGCCCGCTTCGTTGATCTGAATGAATACTACTTCATGATAAAATCATTACTATTAGTTATTGTTATAATATTTATCAATGCAATTGTTTCACATCATGTGTATAACCTTTGTTTACCACTGTTATTTTTAATAGATAGCAAATAAAAGTTATACATTACGATTTCGACTGCAGCTTCACCTTAACTGGGCTCAGTGCCTATTTGTGCTCCCCAGATCATTCCCGTTAACGGGTGATGCTGATAGCATCATTAAGGTAAAAAACTGGCTGGGAGACAGGTGAAGCAAGAGCCTCGGTTAGTGTGATGGCTAGTGTGTAAACCTTCGGTAAGGGTAGCAGCGGGTTCGAAGCACACCTGAGGTGCCAAGTTTTGCTCATATCTCAGCACCATTGTAGTTGTTTCACATCAGTGGGTTATTACCGTACACATTCGTTTGTTGCGAATCAACGGTGACATTTAGCGATACCGTAGCTCACGCATCATCAGCCCTACCTGTACATAATCGAAATCGCAACGCTTGGCATAAACGCGACGTCGCCAGTAGTATAGCGGACGAAAAGAGCCATTCGTATGATAGAAGCTGACTCGCCCACGTTCAAAATCGAAAGCTCTGAAAATACGTAAAAATCCACAAGTCATTTTGGTTAATACGGGGTTAATATTATTGATGATATAATTTGAGGTGGGGCGAATGCAGCACAGTGCTTAAATGTGTGATGCAATACACATGGGTTTGATCCCGAGCACCAGGCTCGCCATCCTTCCATCCCTCCACGATGGGCAAACTGATACCAAACCTATCTGGGAGGGTAGAAGCAGTGGCCACCACCAGTAGTTGTACAGGCTAGATTTCAATTTAATCACCTATAACGATGCCTGCTAAGGTTGAATGCATGACGCATCTCTCAGAGATTGATCAATGTGGTAAGCGTTATCCTTTTATAATTTGTGACCAAGGAAGTACGTATAGTGCAGTGGTTATGGGTGCCTCGCTATAGGCATATAGCCTTTGGTTCTACTCCGAACAGCGAGCAAATCAAGCCTTCCATCGTTCTGGGGTTGGCCCGATCATACTTGTTTGGGAGTATGAAAATACTGGCTTGATACATCGGTAGTTCTGTGAAATTCGTTGTAAATACCAAATCTGTACTCAGTCACCTTTACGACGATACGAATGGAGTCAAATCTCTATTTTCATCTCTAAGAATGTTCAACGCCGAATGTCTAATAGAGAATTAATTGGCACAGGTACATTTCTTTCCGCAACTACGACAAAAGGTTAGATAAATTGATAGAGGACTCATACCAAACCTATCTGGGAGAGCTTTGCTCTGGAACTTGGTCTCCTTCCTAAAGATTAAGTGGTCTGTAAGCATTGTGCTACAACCCCCTGATGAAAAAAAGAAGGATTTAGGCTGATTTTCCTACCGGAACACGAGCAGAATCCGTTTTTGTTCTGGCGCCTGTATCCTTGTGGTGCATGTGGAATTATGATCGTAAGGATTCGGGAAATTCGGACTAGTTAGCCGTCCCGACGGGTGTTCTTCCGCGGTTACTGTACGATTACAGCCTGAACAGTTATAGAGTACCTAAAGGTATCCTTTTTAGACCAATCAATCCTACTCTAAAAGAGTGCATCAGTACTGAAAAAACGTAAGAAAATTGTTAAAGTGGATGCCTTAAAGCAAAACGTAAAGACAGTCGCCCTTCCTTCGCTCTTAGATGGTATTGCGAATCCCCACTTTGCTTTTTCAAAAAAAAAAAAGGCTGAAAAGAAACAAAAGGGGTCTTCACATTAAAATAGGAAAATTATTTCTTGAAACCTTTAAAAACCACTTTTCAGTGAATTTCGCCAGAGAAGTCATGACTGGGGTGGCTTGTATACTCGTAACCAATACCGCAATGAGCATTGTTATTGTATAGACATTAGACAGCTAAAAAGCAGTCATTGAATTTCAACAGAACGCTCAAGCGGAGGAGGAGGTTCTGTTGTCTGTTGAACCCGATATGTTTGACTTTTTCCCTTTCCTCTACTTAGATTTGATGAGCTAATTAATCTATCCACATTGCCAACTGCTTAATGTCATTTTCAATTTTTCATCTAGCAATATACCGCAGTTCTAATTTTGTCTTTCTAAAAATTATGGCTGATTGATTGAATCTTTATTCTTGGCGCTCATAATTGCGTAAATTTTATTGCAACTAGTATTTTGTGGTTATGACTTAACGAGATGATAGATATCTGAGAAGAGAAACAGCAAACACTGTACTGAAAACCTAATCGATAACTAATCGATACCGTCAAGTAACCGATAGGACATTACAAATTGAGCACTGTCTTCGTCGTTGATCACTGCTGAGGTGGTAATCTGGAAGCAAAAGAATAAAAATCAACGCTGAAATATTTCAAAAACAACACTTAAAAGCAGCTAAATTCTTCGAGGATGAAAAATTTTAGTTTCTAAACATAAAAAATAAATCGATGATCCTAAAGGTGGCTTCAAAGTCATTCTAACACTGTAATGGTAGTGCCAAACTCTTTACCTGCACAACCATCGTGTTTGAGATGAACGGTGGGAATGGTGTAGTGCCACAAATGCGGAATGTCTAGAAAAAATAAAACTTTCGAGTATTTTTTGAAGAGGGAAATAACAAATATTAGAATTTAATTAAGATCTTATGGGGTAAGAGGAGCCTGTTCACTTTAGGAAAACGGTACTTTTAAACAGTAGAAAACCGATAATAAGGGGATCAGGCAAATGTTTTTTTTTGTGAATTATTTTAAAGTCCAAACAGATTGTAACGTAAATATAACAAAGGATAAAGGATAAAGGTCTCGGCGTTGATCGATCTCTAAGGGATGCGCCATGCATTCGATTTCATTAGGCCATCGTTTGGTGGTGATTGAATGCAAATTTGGCCTTTACAATGACTCGCGGTGGCCTACCGATGTATCGAGCCAGTGCTGCTATCCTTCCAGAGAACTCTGGTAGCAATTTGCCAACGTCGTAGGGATGGAAGGCTTGGTGTGCCATGGGGCGTGGAGATC